CTGTCACTCTGCCTTTTAAATTAAAAAAAAAAATTTTTTTTCTTTGTCATGCCTCCTGTTACCTCCTCTCTGCCCATTGAGTGAAACCCAGCTGCTTTGCGTACCCTTCACCCATCCATCTTTGGAAGGCAGAGGTCTCCAGGTTTGATTCCTGGTAGGAGAAAAAAGGTGCCACAGGAGGGTACAGTCACAGTGAACAGAATCCAAGGAGGATACTTTTTTCAAAATCAGGGACCTGAGTGCCATGGCCTGATAGTTTCTGAGTTAACAGACATGACCATCAGGCTGTGAGCTTTGGTGTGAATCAGCCTGGAAACAGGTAAGTGGAACTCTGAGCATAACAATTGTGTTGTAAATAGAATCGCAGACACCCTTGGCCCTAAAGACCTTATAGGGAAGGCCTGTTCCCACAGGCTTCAAAGACCAAGTGAGTCAGCCCGCGAATGCTCCTGGCTGTGACCACACCAGCCTGCCCAGGGACCCACACTGCTGCCCTACATCAAGTACTCATGAAGCTGGATGCGCCTCAGGCTGCAGGACTCTGGGTGCTGGGCACTGGGCAACATGCTGGGGCCCAGGGCATGAATGAGGTCAGAACTGGCCCCACAGGAGTCTCAGGTTGCTGGACGAGATGGCTCCCTAAAGATAAGAGTGTTCAACACACAAGTCTAACAAAAGAGTTAACAATGTGTTTCAGAGCACATGAAGTCTTCCAGGATGTGTCACAGACTTCCTGGGTTTTGTAAGGATACCACCTGGTGGAAAATGGAAGAGGCCTTCCAGGACAAAAAAAAAAAAAAAAGTATGAGTTGATCTGAGAGTTAAAGCACTGCCTGCAGTGTTAACATCCCATATGGGCACTGGCTGGAGTCCCAACTGTTTCATTTCCAATCTAGTGCCCTGGTAATATGCCTGGGAGGGCAGTGAAACATGGCCCCGGAGCTTAGGGCTCTGCCATCCACATGGGAAACTGCATGAGGCTGCTAGCTTTGGCCTGACCCAGGCCTGGCCATTGCGGCCATTTGGGGAGTGAACCAGTCAAAGATTCTCTCTGCCTCTCTAACTGCACCTTTCAAATAAATAAGTAAAAAAAGAACGAAAGAAAGAGAAAAGGGAAGGGAAGGATGAACGTGAGCAAAGATGGCGGAAGCATTTGCTCTTTGAAGGTGCAGTGTTGTGCGGCTGGCAATGGATTTAAGAGGTGGGGAAGGAGCAACTGAAGCCAAGGTGAAGCCTGGCTGGGGTCTGAAGAACGGGACCGCTTTGCTTGGGGCTCCAGGCAGGTAAAGCAGCCGGACCGAATCAGCACAGAAACCCTTCAGGTCGCATGCTACAAACTAAAGACAACATGACTCAGGGGCTCCATGGCTCAGCACTGACCACAAGCAGTGGGTTTAGCATACTGTCCTCATCATCCTAATTTCTTCCTATTTTATCTAAAAGCAAAGGATATTATTTTGCATTAGAATAGAAAGTTCTGTCTGTATATATTTGACGATCGGGCATTATGGCACAGTAGGCGAAACCACTCTTTGGGACACCCGCATACCACATCAGACAGTGCACGGTTTGAGTCCCAGCCCTTATACTTCTAACTCAGCTTCCTGTTATACTTAGCCTGGGCCAGAGCAGGTGATGCCTCGGGGACAGCAGGTGATGGCTCAAATACTTAGGACCTTGCCATCCATGCCATGAGTGAAGATCCTGGATTTGGCCTGGTGCGATTTTTTTTTCTTTTAAGATTCTCTTATTTTTATTGGAAAGGCAGACATACAGAGAGAAGGAGAGACAGAGAGAAAGATCTTCCATTCACTTGATCACTCCCCAAGTGGCTGCAATGACCAGAGCTGAGCTGATCCAAAGCCAGGAGCCAGGAAATGCCTCAAGGTCTCCCACATGGGTGCAGAGTCTCAAGACTTTGAGCCATCCTCTGCTGCTTTCCCAGGCCACAAGCAGGGAGCTGGATGGGATGTGGAGCAGCCAGATACAAACCAGTGCCCCTATGGGATCCTGGCGCATGCAAGGCAAGGATTATTACTAAGCTACCATGCTGGACCCAAAAATAAATAAATCTTAAAAAGCAAACAAATAAACAACTAAAGAAGAACTTCACATAGCTGAATAAAAGTTTTCTATACTAAAGACAGCTCTGCCTTCCAGTTTCAGGCATAGAAGCTCTGTAGTCTCTGCTGCCTCAGCCCCTGCTCTCACGAGTCTGTTTCTGCATGTGTACCTTCATTTCCCATTCTGGGAAGCAGCCACCACATTCAGGAACACTGTTCCCACCAGGCCACAGGCGCGCTGCGTCAGGAGGATGGGCTCCGGGCCACATGCCCTGGTGGGTTATATCGGTGACAGGATACTGTGATTGCGGCTTCACCATCTAGCCGCTCTGTCCTAATCTTGCTTAGCTTCTCTCTCAGGGAAACTGAGGCTCAATAACGCGACTCCTGGTAGAGGATTAATTCTGCAGATCCAACTAGATCACAGGTGTACAACATTCAGTACCATTCTAGGCATGAGACAAGCTGGGCGTCCATGGATACCATCAAGGAAGACACTGCACCAGACACCAGAGATGGATGCAGAGATCAAAGTCACAGTCCTTCAGCCTAGGAGTCGGGGGTGGGATACAGAAAGGGCACCGCTGGCCCAGCAAGGCGAGTGCCAGAACAGGAGGAGGGGGCGTGGTTTATCCCCCGTGGAATTATTTATCAGGCCCAGGTGCTTCAGGACACTTGACCTGTGTACTGCTTCCTTCCACCCCTCCCTTCCTCCCACAATCAGATTCAGATATGGGACAGCTGTCTCAGCTTAAATACACGCTTGAATTGAAAATCAAGTCAGATTTATTTGCCACGGGGAAACTGGACTTCATGGTTGTCTAACTCCATTTTTTTCGACCTGTATAACTGTGAAACACTTTAGTCCAACTAGCTGCAATCCTTCTGTCAAAATGAAAAACAAACATTCAGAGACAATGAAAAAGTTGTGCATTTGGCACAGTGGTTAAGACGATGCTTGGGGGCCAGTGCGATGGTTCAGTGGCTTACACATGCTGGGATCCGTGTGGGCACCGGTTTGGGTCCTGGCTGCTCCACTTTCCTTCCAGCTCCCTGCTTATACCTGGGAAGGCAGTAGAGGATGGTCCAAAGCCTTGGGACTCCGCACCTACAGGAGAAACCCAGAAGAAGCTCCTGGCTCCTGGCTTTAGATTGGCTTAGCTCCGGCCATAGAGGCCATTTGGAGTGAATCAGCAGATGGAAGATCTTTCTCTGTTTCGTCAAATAGCTATCAAAACAGATGGGTAGACTGATATCAAAGATGATGCTCGGGATACCTGCATCCCATATTAGGGTGACTGGGTTCCCTTCCAGCTGGGCTTCAGATTTCAACTCCCAGCTAGTGAGTGCCCTGTGAGGCACCAGGTGATGGCTGTCCTGCTGGGCTTCTCCCACCTGGCTGCCACTCCTGGCTGCAACCTACTATAGCCTCAGCCAGCACTGGCATTTTACAACTGAGCCAAAGGTGGAAAAGCTGCCTCTGCCTTTCAAGATAGCTTTACTACATGCAGGCTGGGTATCTCTTATCTGAAGTGCCTGGCACCAGGTGTTTTGCAATGAGAATTTATTTGCACCTTGGGAATATGTGCATACACATAATGAGTTCTTAGAGACAGGAACCAAGTCTAATTACAGAACTCAGTGGTTTCACACACAGCTTACACACACAGCCTGAGGTAATTCCACCCAGTATTTTTCAGCACACCTCCATTTCAATGTAACCATAAGGAGTTATCTTGGAGATGGTAACCATGTCTAAACAGAATGCATTTGTTTCATAAGCAAGCTTCTACACACAGCCTGGAGGTAATTTCAAGCTGTTTTTAGCGCATCTGCATTTAAAACATAGCTCACCAAAGGGAGACACGTGTGGGATTTTCTGCTTCAAGGCGTCGCGTCAGAGCTCAAGAAGTCACAAATCTTCGAGCATCGTGGATTTCAGGATAAGGATGCCCAACCTGCAGTGGGTAACGCAGAGCTGTGACATCAACGCTCCAGGCACGGGCAGTTCAACAAGTGTCCCCTGTGACCACAGACTGCGCGCCGTGCTGGGAGCGGGGTATTCAATTACTAATTACTTAGAGTTGTTAACAACCAGCAGCTGGGGAGAGGCAAGCTGGAAAGACGCTCCCTCCCCCCATCTACCTAGGACCTCCGAGGGTTCCCTTCCTAAGAGTTTTAGCACTAAGCACAATGCCTTTCCTCTTTTTCCTCGCGGGACCGTCCCCCAGGGGTCCCCCGTGGTTTTGGCCTCTCCCTGAGCCTCTGAGTTGTCCTTCCTCATTCAGGAGGCGAGACGAGAAATGACTAGTGATATCCCAGGCTCCCAGGTTGGGAGGTGTATGCCTTTTGGAAATCTCCAGAGCTCCCCGGGTCCGAGGCCCACGGATCCCACCTCTGCGCGTCCGCCCACGGAGCGGCACCCCTTCAACACTTGCCTCTCTTCCCCACTCAGGAGTCTGCGCGTTTCTGGGAGGGACGTCCGAGAGGCCGGGGTCAAAGGGACCGCCTCGCTTCCCCCCTCCCAGGACCATGAGGGACTGGGACAGTTCTCGGAGACCCAGAGAAGGGAAATGCGTGGCTTCAACCGACGAGAACAGAGATTTACACCTGCGTCTCCCGCCTCCCGGTCCGAGGGACGCCTGCAGCCCGTCCCTGGTGGACTCTTCTCATTGACAGCGACCCGAGTCCTGCCCACTCGAGCTCTCCACAAAGAGTGCGGGGCTCCAGAACCGGGAAGTGCAGGGAGGCGCGAGCGGCAGGGGGCGGAGAGGGGAGCTCCGGCTCCCGGGCTCCGCGGGCCCGAGCAGCGCCGCCCCACCCCGACCCCGCCCCCTGCCGCCCGGTTCCCTGGGCAGCCGGTCCGCGCGCAGTCCATCGGTCCTCCCGCCTGGCGTGCGGCACCCGAGCGCTCGGCTGCGGGCTGCCCGCCGCAGCATGGCCCGCCGGGTGCAGCTGGCTCCGGGCTCGCTGGCGCTGGTGCTGTGCCGGCTCGAAGCGCAGGAGGCGACGGGGGACACGGAGGAGGCCAGCGGACGCGCGATTTTCCGCGCCTTCCGCCGCGCCAACGCGCGCTGCTTCTGGAACGCGCGCCTGGCGCGCGCCGCATCACGACTGGCCTTCCAGGGCTGGCTGCGGCGCGGGGTGCTGCTGGTGCACGCGCCCCCAGCCTACTTGCAGGTGTTGCGCGATGCCTGGCGACTCCGGGCATTGCGCCCGCCGCGCGGCTTCTGCATCAGCGCGGTGGGTGAGTGCGGGCAGGGGGCGGGAATGGTGAGGCACCTCTCCCGGGGAGGACGGGCGGGGAGTGGGTGGCCCGGCCGGGCGACTGCTTTCACGGCCTGGAGGCATCCCCTTCTCCTGGGGTTCTGACGCTCCAATCCCTCCAAGGTGCATCCGACCGGGGCCTAGGGAGCACACGGGCTGCTGCTGGACCGAACTTTCTTCTTAGGAAAGTGATGTGTGAGGACAGAGCTGGGGGGGGGGGGGCGGGGGGGGAAGGCGGCTGCCTGGCCCCCATGGGGGTTGTTTAGGAAGAATATGCCAAGTGGGTTGGCCACAATCTTCCGAATCCGGTTTTGGTTTTGGTGGTTTTAAGTTGCAGTTTGTAGTTCTCCGGTCCTGGTGTACTGGTTAGGGTGATGGTCTTGGGTCAAGGACTACCAGCTTTGGGATCATTCGCTGCTTGGGAAAGAGAAAGGGGTACTGCAGACACACTCCATCCCATTACCTGAATAGACAGAGTTCTGCCTGAGCTGCCGCACTAGCGAGAGGTCTGCGGCCGAGCCCCTAAGCTCTGGGCGCCATGTCGGCAGCTGCAGGTAGCAGCCTGGCTCTGCCTGCGGCAGGGGAGGTGGGAGAACTTGTTAGCAAATCACCTCCGAGTTTTGATTCCTACCAAACCAAACCCCGAGACCATCATTGGTCCTCCTCTTCCACCTGAGATGCAAGCGGAAAATGTTTTAGTCCCCAGGGGTAAGGGCACAGGGCAGGGGAGGCAACTGACGGGGTTGCACAAGTTGTCACCGCCTTCATCTCCTGGGGGTGGGGTGGGCCAAGTCTGTCTCAGTCCCGATTGTTTTTTTTTTTCCCCCTAAGGAAAACCACAATATGCACATTTCATCTCCTTTTACAAGCGGGAGCCAGCCGTGGGAAGAAAATAGGTTTCTGAGCCTGGGAGCCTGGAGCCAAGTTGCGTCCACCAAGCCAGAAGGCTCCCGGTGGCAGGGGCTTTCAGACAGGCTGGATGAAAACCTCTTTTCAGTTCTGTGGCTGGGGGATTTTTCTGGTTTGAATTAGTGGTTACCTTCTTCACTTCTCCCACTCCCTGGCTGAGTTACTGCAGAGGGGGAGTGGGATGCCTGGGGTACCGGGGAGTGAGTCTAGACCTGGGGGTGAAATAAGAGAGGGCCTGTGCTGAGTTGAGTGGCAGGCGCCTGAATTCCGGTGTAGGAACCCGAGGTGGGGTGCCCGGTGGGTTACACTTCCTTCCCAGGGTCAAGGCCAACACCCCAAAACAAAGGCCAGACTAAAAAGAGAAAAGTGTAGCAGCATCATCTCACCAAAGTTTTATGTGGCATGGAGTCGGCGGCCATTCAGAAACAACCCCCCTCTTTTTTTAAAAAAAGATTTATTTATTTGTATTGGTAAAGCAGATATACAGAGAGGAGGAGAGACAGGAAGATATTCCATCCAATGATTCATTTCCCAGGTGGCTACAATGGCTGGAACTGAGCTGATCCGAAGCCAGGAACCCAGAGCTTCTTCTGGGTCTCCCGTGTTGGTGCAGGGTCCCAAGGCTTTGGACCGTCCTCAACTGCTTTCCCAGGCCACAAGTAGGCAGCTGGATGGGAAGCGAGGCTGCACCCATGTGGGATCCTGGCGCATTCAAGGAGAGGACTTTAGCCACTAGGCTACTGTGCGGGGGGGGGGGGGGGGCGCCCAGAAACAACCCTTTGAGAACAGCTAGGACAGTCATATGGAAATAGGACTGGGTTTGAGTTAATGTGTTAGCGTGGGGCCTTTGGTGAGGCTTGTCTGTGTGGCCTCCCTTCCTCCTGAATATCGGACAGGACCGTTTGGGAGTGAGGGGCTTATCAGACTGGAAAGGCCCAATAATTGCTTTATGGCCAACTGTTACATGAAAAAGCAATATTTCTAGATTTTGTGACTGTCTTTGGTGGGGGGAGGGGAGATGGATTCTGGTTTCTATACTCTGCCTTGGGAAAAGAGCTGGAGAGCTAACGGGGGTGGGGGGAAGGGCAGGGACTGCTTCTGAGCTTTCCTTGCCCAGGCCTTCTTTTCTAAGCACTCAACTTGCCACCAAAGTGCCACACTGGCCGGTGGGGGTGGAGCCGGGGGCTGTGGCTTTCCCAGCTCAGGTGTTGATGTGCATCTGAGATGGTCGTTAGCCTTGGCAATGTGGACCAAAGCGAAGAACCTAGGTGTTTTCTGCCTTTTGTGATTCTGCCTTAGTGACTTGGCTGGGGCCTGTGTGAACTCCAGGCAGGACACCTGGCAGATCACGTAGGCAGACCACTCCTCAGGAAGGAGGTACCTGGTGTTTGATAAGAGTCATAGCCCAATAGCTCATCGATTTGTACTTTTTGAAGTTGTTTGTTTCAAATCCACCAGTAGAAGCCTGCTAAATCATGACTGTATGATTAATAGCCTGAAATGTGTAAGAACTGGGGGGCTTGGGCTCTCGCTTTCTCTTGGATCCCTGCGGATGCTACAGCCCCTCGCTGCGGCTGGGCTGGGGGAGGTGGCTGGGAGACCTAGGCTAACCTGAATAAACCACCTTTATGCCTTAGCACCGACTTCAGACTTGATGATTACCTGGGGATTTCAAAATCGGGCACAACGAAAGCACGCGTGAGGACACTTTGAAGAGCAGACTGGGGAAGGTTGCAGGTGATGCCCAACTGGGCAGGGGGAGTGGTCTTGCTTTTCATAGAGGGCTGCTAACTGCTGGTCCAGCCTGGAGTCAGATCCGTGAGAGGCCTTCTTTGGTGTGCTCTAAGGTCCCAGCGGAGTGTAGGAGCAGAAGTTGCTTTTCTGCACAGGGTCCCAAGGTGCAGCCGGCTTGTTCCTGCTTTTCTGACTGCAGCAGCTTGGATTCCAGAAGCCACAGGAGCTCCCCGGAGGGCTGCTGTGGACTGGCAGGTGCTCCTCCCGTTAGCATGGCTGCCTCTTGGGAAAGAGCAAGATGCTAGAGAAATCATTGCCATCTCTTTGCTGTTAATTTTTTCCTTATTTTTTTTTTAAGATTTTATTTTTATTCTAAAGGCAGATATACAGAGAGGAGAGACAGAGAGGAAGATCTGTCTGATGGTTTGCACCCCAAGAGGCCGCTATGGCTGGAGCTGAGCCAATCCAAAGCCAGGAGCTTCTTTTGGGTCTCCCACGCAGGTTCAGGGTCCCAAAGCTTTGGGTCATCCTTGACTGCTTTCCCAGGCCACAAGCAGGGAGCTGGATGGGAAGCAGGGCTGCCAGGATTAGAACTGGTGCCCATATGGGATCCCAGTGCATGCAAAGTGAAGAATTTAGCCGCTACACTATCGTGCCCGGCCCTCCTTTTTAATTTGAGTGAGAATGCATGATCCTGTCCACTGGGATGGGATTAGGGCCAGAGGAACTCATGTCCACAAGGGCCAGAGGAACTCTCTGTTCAGCTGTCCCACATGTTACTTGAGCGGATGCGCCTGTCACCCAGGGTCTACAGGAGCAGGAAGCTGGAGCCAGCGACATGTCTCCAACACTCCAGCATGAGATGGGAGCATCCTAAAGGCCAGGAGAAAGGAATGCCCCCTGCCTTCACTCAGTTGTTTTTCAAAGGCTCCGCAGCGGCTACATGAAAGCAATTGGAGACACTGGTCAGTTCCTACAGCAAATACAGAGAGGGGAGGAGGGAGAGCCAGCATTTTGGGAACCCTGCTGTGTTCCACCTAGTGTGTAGGGCTTTTGACCTCAGGAGGGTGTGCCTTACCCCTGGCCCACGAATGAGCTCTCAGTGCCAACCTGAGGACTTGACCTTAAGGTCTGCAAGGGCTACTTTCTCCAGATTTTATACTTTTTCATATATATTTCATTCATAAAAGCCACTCCCTGAGTGGCTAGGAGCTTCAGCCAGCACCTGTATGGGATACTGGTGTAGCGGGCTGCCGTTTAACCTGTTACACCACAGTACTGACCCAAATTTTATGCCTTTTTTTGCCCTTTGGCTTTCTCTCCCTTGGCTTTTATCTGGTGGAAAAAATAGTTTTCAAGCGGTGTGTCTTTTTTTTTTGCTAAAAAGAGAAAGACTGCATCTTTAGCTGTAGATGACAGACCAGCCCTAACTTTTCTTTTGTGCTCCAGTCAAAAGTCCTGTTTTGTTCCTGGGTCCTGCACTTTTTGTGTCCATCCCTTCCCCTCCCTCCACTTCCAGCTAATGAAATTAACAAATGAAAGGGTGAACTGGGGAGCCAGAGGATCTGGCTGCTGACTCAGCTGGGTCTCTCTGTCCGGAGGGTGTGCAAGTGAGGCTGACACCTGTATTTGTTTGGGAAACTCTAGGGAAAGGTTAATGGGGCAGGCCACTTGAGCAAATAAGCTTGGCCCCTTCTGGCATTTATAGTTGGGGCCTCCGTACCGTTCACTCCCAAGAGGGTCTTTTATTTTTTTCTCACTGGAGAAAGAAAAAAAAAGCTGCCACAGCTTAGGTTCCTTTTAAATATTTGCCTAACAAGTTTATTCAGCAGCTATGGGCCAAGGACCATCTTCTGCTGATTTCCTGGGTGCATAAGCAGAGAGCTGGATGGGAAGCAGAGCAGGTGGGACTCAAAGTGTCACTCTGGTATGGGATATTAGGGATCTCAGGCAGGGGCTTAAGGTGCTATACCACAGTGCTGGCCCCCATTCTCTATTTTTTTTAACCATAGTTCAGTTTTGCCTGTTCAAGAACTTCACAAAGTAAAATCATTTACACTTTTTAGTGTGAGAATTTTTTCTTCCTGCTTATGGTCCCTGAGGGCCATCCCTTTTGTATTACTAGCTTATTGTTTCTATTGCTAGTTAATACTGCTTTGTGTGAATCTATTTTAGTTTACCCAGCTTGCCTTAGGTAACACCTAGGAAGTTTCTTGTTTATGGCTTTTATGAATGAAATGTAAACCTTTATGTGCAAGATTTTTTTTAAAATATTTTTTATTTGAAAGACAGAGTTACAGAGATAAGGAAAGAAAGAGAGAGAACGATCTTCCAGAC